CCCAAACTGAATGCCTTAATTATGCATAGTGACTGTGACTGTCAGAGAGTCATTAGGCATTGGAGGATCCAATTGCTGCACGGGCAGAGGTGGCACGATGAGCACTACAGTGTTGTCAGAGCTGATGTCATCAGTGATAGTAATTGAGTCATTCCAAGCTTGCATGGGACTGTCAGAAAGGTTGTCTTCAGGAACCAGACCATGCTGAACCGTTAAGCCTTGCGCAGCCAGCCATGCTTGGTAGTTGATCAGGTGCGGTGGTAGCACTGGTAGAGGAGCAACAGGGGGGCTTGCCATTCATCCCAATCAGCTTGAGAAGGTCCATCTACCTCTGCATTGTCACCATTGAAACCAGCAGGTGGTGCAGCATTCTGGACTAGCCAATTGTGGACCTGCTGTTGATAAAGCTGTTCTGCTGTGAGTTCAGGTCCAAATTGAGGGTGCGGGTTGCCGTCCGGTGGTGGTGTATCCTCACCAGGCGGCAAGACCTCGTGCAAGAGGCCATTCCAGTCATTGCTCCTAAGAATTGTGATTTGAACTATCCAGCAATCTCTGGCTGCACCCAACTGCCAGACAACGAAGCTCTTTGGAATCAACTTGAGGCAACTAACACGAGCTTTCAAAACAATATAACGCCTGTCCTGTCGTGGATTGTACCAGGAGACCAGAGAGCCATATCCACCGAGGGCTTTTGAAAGATAATAATCCATCTGATAGTCATACGGAAATCCAAAGAACATAAGGCACACCTCAGGCCCAAAGAAAGTAGTGCGCCTATTCAGAGCCTCATTACGGGGGACAAAAGAGATGAGCAGATCTCATCCTCCAACTCGATGGGGGTGGCTACTGCCGTGTCCCGCATAAAAGAGTCCACAAAACCAAAAATGCCAATGCCAAATGGATGATCGCTGACTTTAGTAGTTAAGAGATGAGATTCATGGAGCAGACCTATGATCGTGTTGCGGATAGCAGCTCGGCGGTGAAGAGGAACATAGGCGCTTGTCTCCGCAATGGCCAAGAAGTCGTGGTTGAGCGGCGGGATTGGGCCAACCACCAAGCCACTGCGCACCAAGCGGTCGGCAGGTCTAGGCTAGACAGCGAACCCCGGCAGGAGGAACGGCACCGGGTTCAACGGGTAGTTCGCCATGGCGAGAGAGCTCGGTGTAGGTGGGGTTTGCTCAAAGAGCTGTAATGGTGAAGAGACTAGACTGGGCGGTGGCATTTTGGGAACTAGAGCGGGAGACGGAGCGTGAGGGGTAGGAAAGGAAAGACCAGATGTCTTGGGAATCCATTTCCATTTTTGTGCATATCGTCTCTTGTGACAAGATTTGGCCACGTGCACATAGAAGGCACAAACGGAGCATTGGATGGTGACCGTGGTCTTCCTCTGTCTATGGTCATGGACGGAAGGAGCAAAAGATCCGGGCAATTTGATTTGACTGTGATTCGGCCGAATATCTTTAGGAATGGGATGGTGGTTACCAAAACGTGTACAGTTTGTTGCCTTATGGTCTGGCCCCGAATAGTTAAGACAAATTAGGCGGGCTTGACACGTAGATTTGTTGTGTCCCCATTGTAAGCATCGTGGGCATAAAGAAGCCCAGTGGGCTGATAATGAAATAATCTCTTCCAGAGAATAGTGGGCTTGAGCCAAGTCCGCTTTGTGACGTGCAGTGAGCATAGGCGGCCAAGATGAGTGAGGGGGAGCATATCGAAAGGCCGAATTCAAATAAGTCCGTGGTAGGGGCGGATAAGGCACATTTAACAGACATTTAAATCCCCCCAAATTAATGTGATTGGGTAATTGTTTCTCCTCTAATTCTGCCTTTGACAAAAAAAGCTCCATCAAAGCAATACGATCAATTCTATCGGGGGAGGAATTAGGGGGGTCAGGACTGGTTGAATCTTTTGCCAACGAAGAAAATGATCCAAACTTAATTTGAATATCCTTTGTGGAATCGTGTATGATCAATTCCGTTGGCAAGGTTGAAGAAGAAGCCTCATGAGCATTGTTATCCGAGAAAACCATAGAGGAAATAGGTTTCAAGCTACTCATATTGCAACCCATGAGCGAGCCAGGAATGGCATAGTTGCTGGGATGTAAGAACCTCAAATCAGATTTGATAGCCAATGGGTTGCGAGCAGCAATATCAGTCAATTCCATGTCCGCGTGCCAACTAGTGGCAAGTATTGGAGCTTTAGCAAATCTCCCGTTAAATAGGTGAAAATGGCAAACAAAATCTGGTCAAATGCGTTCTTTAAGCTTATAGATGAAATGCCCAACTTTGTTGTTTGCCACGGAAAACCGAAAGGAACGTGAGTTGATTTGGACCACATTGAAACCCGAGCAAAGACCACCAATACAACACTGCAGAGCGATGCCAACAGAATCCACCGAGAGGGGGAAGGAGGCCGAGGAGAAAGAGACCACCAAAAAGAACTCCTTGGCGTCTCGAGAGGGTGAGAAATGTACTTTGGATCCAAATCTTCGTCTCACCTGATCCGCAAGGGCAATGCCCGGTGCAAAATCCCAATGTAGCAAGCCCTCCATGGGTGGAGGAGCTAGAGGTCGCCATGGTTGGTGCGGTGGAGAAGAGAGAGGTGGAAAGGAATGGTGGTGGAGGAGAGGGAATCCATCTTGCTCTTTCGTCAGCTAGTTGCTCACAATATGACAAAGTTCGGCCTGAACAAGATTGACTTGGATGTTCCTAGAAAGAAGAGGAAGAAGACTCACTGTTAGATCTTCTTAGTGAAGACCAAGCATCAGCATTACATGTTCCTTTTTTTGGTTAAATTGTTTTCCGCTACTATCGCTGGTCTTGGTTATTACGTGTTCAATGTGTTATTGCTATCATACCACCCGATATTTGGATGATGTTTTCTGTGTTGTTCTTGTGGTTTGGCATAACAATTTTGCATTGCACATGCACTAGTACTATAGGATAATGTGTACAGTGCTTTCTTGCTATTGAGCTTGACCGTACTGTAGATTTTGCTTTATGGTTGCTGAAATGTGAAGATCAGTATATCTATTCAGCTTGAACATACTTTAGATTTTTTTCAATATCATTGTGCTTCCTGCTATCAACAAATCAAGTTTTTTCCATGGAGATGGCTGGCCATTCTTTTCAAAACAAGCTATTACTACACCGATTCGTTATTTTTGTGCATGAACATTTTTATGCCATGGACATTTTTTGAACTAATTTTGAATTCCAAAACATTTGTAATGCGTGAACATTTTTTGAATTGGATGAACAATTTTTGAATTCATAAAAAAAGGGATAATTGGTTTTATACCCTTAGTTGTGTTTCCCTCGTTAGGATTGCCCCTAGTTTCTGAAAACACTTGGTCTTGCCCAACCCACTTTGGCGTCTTGTGCTTTTGCCCTTTGACCGTTTGATTGTCACTTTGAAAAGTTCATAATTAATGCATACTAAATCGGAAAAATGCAAATAAGATATCAAAATGTTCAGAAAAACATCACATGTATGTCAATATCACTTGCATTCATGACAAAAGTGCTGGTAAGTGCCCATCCAAGTTTTAGCTTTTATCATACCACCATGAACAGTAAAATCTAAAAAAAATCAAAAAAATTGGTGGAAAAGAATGACAAATGTTCGAAGTGCTTACCAAGTTTCATCACGGAATGACGTTCGTGAAAGTTGTGGCAAAAAAAAACAATCAACACTCGATTTTTTTTGTTTTGCCACGAGTGGTCTTTGTAAAGCTTTTTTCAGAAAAGGCTAAACTACTACTAGTGGTAATACGAGTGTGTGACACTAGCCGATGCAGTGGAACGCAACGGAGGCACTCCAAAGGAAGCTCAACTAGTGAACGCATTCCGATCAACCGACGCAAAAGACTCCTCCTCGCCTCGCTGGTTTACATTTATATCTGCATCGAACGGAGTAGTACTACCTGGATCTTCTTCATCTGGGTAAACACAGCCATTGACCCTCTCTCGATTCTGCCAAAGACGAAGGAGACCTCTCCAGGAGAGAGCATCGACCTGTCTTTGCACAACAGCTCGTACTCCGGTTTTCATTAAAATACTGCCTGCTTTCGTCTAAAAAAAATAAGAAGTATAAAATGGCTCATGGTTTTCATTAAAATACTGCCTCATTTCGTCTAAAAAAATAAGTACTATAAAATGGCTCAGGGTTTCCATTAAAATACTGCCTGATTTCGTCCAAAAAAAATAAGTAGTACTACTATAAAATGGCTCATGGTTTTCATTAAAATACTGCCTGATTTCGTCTAAAAAACAGGTAGAATAGGACGAGCATTAATTCGTTCTCGATGAATGCCGCCAGTCAAACAGCGCCGTCGTCGTCGTCGTCTCCTCCTCCTGCACCATCTGTCTGCATGACAGGCAGGTCCCACTAGCCCCACGGATCCACCTGTCAAGCCATGCATGCATGCACGCCAGCCACGTGTCCCCCCTCCGCCCGGCGAGCCAGGTCGCCGGCCCCTCCGCAACCCGAGGCACGCACTAGAAGAGTAGATTCGTGCCGCCATCCACGCCCACGTTTTTCCTCGATCGATTGATTTCTTCTCCCCGCCCCTCGTCCGCCGGGTCTGCAAACGGCACCGCCGAAACGGCAGCGCGGCCGTCGCCTCGCCCGCATCTCTCGCTCGCGCGCCAGCCCGCGGCGACGAAGACCGGACGGTGGCGGGAGTGACAAGTGAGGAAACTCTCCCGGGGGAGGCACTCCTCTTAGTCCACACGCGAGTCGCCAATACAAGGCAGCGTTTTAAAGCCGGTGGCGAGTGGCGACGACCCGTAGCTAGCAATTAAACCAGCAGGCGTTCCGTTTCGTTCTCTTCCCTTCCCCTCTTTCCTTTGGCCGTCGATACATCTCTCTCCCCTCCCCTCGGCGGCCATTAATTGGACGGGATATCGATTTCTCCCTCCCTCCGCGGACGATCTAGCTCTAGCGAGAGATAAGTGTTGTGTCTGCGTTGAGAGGGAGAGGCAGGGAGAAAGGCGGCCATGACCACCGGCGGGAACGGGGAGGAGCAGCAGGGGCGGAGGCTGTTCGGCGTCTCGCTCACGGACAGGCCCGTGTGGCAGCAGTTCCTCATCTGCTCCTCCGGCTTCTTCTTCGGCTACCTCGTCAATGGCATCTGCGAGGTACCTACTTCTCTTCCATCTCCTCCCCTCCTCCTCCTCCTTCCGATTATACACTCTACCCCGTCCGTGTTCCTTCTTCGAATCATCGTTTGTTAATTGTAGTATGGAGATCTCGCAACATTTCCTTCTTATCGAAGGGAAAATCTCGCAAGATTTTACGTTTCGGAGTGCATTGATTTTTCCTTTTGAAATCCGGAATTAATTGCACTAGGATCGATCGATAGATAGATACTGTTTCTTTTCCACTCCACATATTATTTTTCTTCGTCCTAGGCTGACTGACTGACTGACTCGTAGAGTTGCCCGGTCAACATGGTACCCCGAACACGAAGCTTCTGCACACGTTCCCCTGATTTTTCTTTTCCTTTTGCCTCGTACAATTCCTGCACAAAATCGACCATCGATCTCCTATCGTTTTCGAAACTTTGTCGTGGTAAACTGAATTCTATGTCCGTCCTCGTGCTGCTGCAGGAATACGTCTACAACCGGCTCCAGTTCAGGTACCCACCTAACGATTGGTGATTGATCGCTCGCGAGACGTACTCTCTCTCAGTGTACTAATGGTGTTTGTGGTGGTGGTGGTGCAGCTATGGGTGGTACTTCACGTTCGTGCAGGGCTTCGTGTACCTGGGGCTGATCCGGCTGCAGGGGTTCACGGTGAAGCACATGGTGAACCCGTGGCGGACCTACGTGCGCCTCTCCGCCGTGCTCATGGGATCCAACGGCCTCACCAAGGGCTCCCTCGCCTTCCTCAACTACCCCGCCCAGATCATGTTCAAGTCCACCAAGGTGAGGTTCGCCAAAGTTATTTCTGCTTTTTCTATTTCTGTCAGACAGTGCAGTAACTTAATTTATTGTCATTATTTCATTTTATTTATTGTTGCGGCATGAGATGTGTTGTTGTGCTCTTGTGTGAGGAAACTTGAACCTTTCTCTTCTGGGAAATGCTCCAATTTGAGAATCCGACATCAGAAATGATGTCTGCTGAGCTGCCAAGCTATTCCTGTTCAATGATGTGCAGTACTCTAATTCGAGCGTGTTTCTACTTTTGAGTCCGGGATAGTACACATACTCTTGTTGCTAAAATCGGAGTATGTAGGGCAGGCAGAACAGTGTTGTCGATATGCGCATTCTGAATGATTCCCTCTTAATTTGGTATGCACGACAAGGCTGCTTTTAAAAGTTTAGTTTTGTCTGTGATGAAATGTCTAGTATTTTGCCAGCGAGAAATTGCTTTTCAAATGATCATTCTTTGATAATAATGTAAATAATGTACTAGTGGTACTACTTCTGCGAAGGGAATGTGCAGCTGAAGGAATAGACTGTTGCTTGTAGCACTTCCTCAGTTCCCTGTCCCTAGGAAGCAGAGGAGAAACCCATGTGAATGTTTACTGCTTCCCATGTTTTGAAACTTCCAATTGGTAGGAAGTTGACTACTGGTAATTTTCTGAGAAAAGTCGAAATGAAGTTGAGACCAGAGAACTTCAGTTAGTACTTAATCTGAAAATAAAGAATTTCCAGTTTCAATCAGCGGTGCAGATCTTATTTCTGTTTTTGACCTTTCGCTCTGCCATTCAGGTGTTGCCGGTGATGATAATGGGAGCATTTATCCCAGGATTAAGACGCAAGTACCCGTTCCATGAGTACGTGTCAGCGGTGATGCTCGTCATCGGCCTCATACTTTTCACGCTCGCGGACGCGCAAACGTCGCCTAATTTCAGCATGATCGGTGTGGCCATGGTGTCCAGTGCACTCATCATGGATGCCTTCCTTGGTAACCTGCAGGAAGCCATCTTCAAGATGAACCCAGACACCACACAGGTACTCTATGTACATTTTGATGTCTTCTACATGTTTCTGTCAGTTATTGAATTGGGAGAACACTGACACTGAATACTTGCTCTCTGGTTAGATGGAGATGCTGTTCTGCTCAACTGTTGTTGGCCTGCCTTTCCTCGCTGTGCCAATGGTGTTAACAGGGGAGCTTACGACGGCGTGGAGTGCGTGTTCTCAGGTATATGATCAAAATCTCTCCTCCATGTTGTTTTGTCAGGTATTTTAATCATCAGATACTTTAGTTCAGAATGTGTACAAACCAGATGGTAGGGAAAGAGGAAAGAATCAACTACTCTTTTGTGAACAACACTAGCCTTAAGGAATCCATCTTTGCAAGTATAGTTCATTTTGTAGACAACAAGACATCTCAGCACTACATTCTTCATTCTTCTGATTTGATTCTAACCACATTGTCCGGAAAAGTATCTGATCCACTTGGAATTTAAAGGTGCTCCTGGTTAACTTGCTGTTAGTACTTCTCCCCAAAACGATTGCTGAAAAAGATTAATCTGACAGACGTTTATGCCCACTTGCAGCACTTGTACGTGTACGCCGTGTTGGTTTTCGAGGCGATGGCGACGTTCGTCGGGCAGGTGTCTGTGCTGTCCCTCATCGCGCTCTTCGGGGCCGCGACGACGGCCATGGTAACGACGGCGAGGAAGGCGGTGACCCTGCTCCTGTCGTACCTGATATTCACAAAGCCCATGACGGAGCAGCACGTCACGGGGCTCCTGCTGATCACCATGGGGATCGTGCTGAGGCTCCTGCCGGAGGACAAGGAGAAGAAAGGCATGGCCGAGCGCCAGCAGGCGAAGGCGCAGCGCGGCGAGGAGAAGCGGCGGGGAGACGGAGTAGAGGAGGAGACATCGCCCTTGGTATGATCGGTGACTTGGATGAGCTGAACGAATAACAAATCAGAGTGCAGGATTTGGCCAACTCTGCTTTTGTGAACCTTTGTCCAGTTTGTGTTGTTTGATGTCGTGGAACTGTTTTGGGGATTGTAACTTGTAAGTTAAAGGGACAAATCAGACTGCAGGATGGAGATGATCACAGATGGATTAGATGTTGTTAATCCTTTTGCCTTAGGTCTCCGTGACAATATATCATGGACAACTGAGATTATCTATGAAGTGGAAAATCACATAAAATTCGTTAAAGTCATCTTCTCCAGACTAAGCTTCTCCTTGACATCTTTGATGTTCCTCCGTGTCATTGTTTTTGCTTTTGAGAACACCTCACTCGTGACATTTTTTTAGAATATTGATGACACCTCACTCGATCTTAATATTGACCATACTTCTCTCCGTTCATGGCGGAATGTGATATGTCCAGCCGTCTCTTTCATTTGCTTGATCTCCCGAGTAAAAGGCGCATGTTCTTCTCTGCTCCGTTCCTCTGGTCTACTGCACAGTTTGAAACGGTGAACCCCATCTCTTGAAGTTCTTGCCTAAAGCTCTGAAATCATTAATTAAGATGTACCTCTTGCACATGTAACTCTCACTCCCTTTGGTGGTGAAGATTTTATCTCAATTATGCGTCCAAATCACGAACAGTTTTCGATATTGTGTTTCCCATGTTGAGATCTTCGAAATTAGATCCAATGTTAATAGGTTTGGACGAACTACTTTTTCCGAAAAAAACCAGAAGCAGAAGAAACAGGAAACAAAGAACAAAAACATGGTGCCTTTTTACTTTTCGGGAAACACAGTCGTGCTTCAACGTGAAGTACAACTGTGCTTTTGACTTTTCAGAAAGCACAACTGTGTTTTTTACTTTTTCGGAAAGCATGTTTGTGCTTTACTGGGAAGCACAACAGTGCTTTTCATACTGTGTGCTTCACGAGAGAAAAAACAGATTTTCTTTCCCTCAGAACACCTAGGAAAAACCAAAAATGACCGCAGAGAAATAAAATCACTTCCAAAGAAGAAGACGGTGTCCGGTTCGAGCGCTTGTCTCATACCGTCTGGTTTTCGTCCATAAGTCAACCCAGAGGAGGTAACACTAATCACAAATTTCAATCTTATCTTTCCTTCTCCTCCAAAACTCAAAGAAATTTTGAAGTCTCTCTCTCTCTATATATACTCGTTTTTAGTTGAATCCTCTCACGTGAAGGATCTACGATATGTTCCCGCAAAAATAAGGACCTACGATATGCTTCTCCCCCAATCTTCAAGTTATTTCTCGCGAATCCGTGCTCTTACATCCTTCTATTGGACTGAAAATTATTTCCATGCTAAGGTTCGTACTCGTTTTGAACCGTTTTACCTGTTGAGCACTTAATTGTTGATGTTGTAATGATTTCAATTTGTTATATGTTAATGTTGGTTTGCATCACTTTGTCTTTCAAGACACAAAAATGTACCACCGATTGATGCTTGAGTTTTTGAGAACATCTTCACACACACACGCACACGCACACGCACACGCACACGCGCACACACACACCACACACACA